GTTCGGCCAGCTATTCCTGATGACATGCCGGAATATTATCAAAAGCTAATGATTTATTGTTGGGCTTCGGATCCATCGAAACGGCCAACTGCGAATGAAATTTTTAATACAATTAGAGAATGGGATTATCCCACAGTTCAAAACAAAGTCGAAGAAAGTATAAGAAATAGAAAAAAAAAGTCCGAGATGCACAAAGGCGCAATATTTAAAAGTAGATCAATTTCCAAAATTATTGGTAATTTTTTATTTTTCATATTAAACATATTTTATAATGCTCAATAGAAATTAATCGAAATTTATGCGTTTTTATATTAGACTCATACATTACACGGCAATTAGATTTGATTTTTTAAAGTAAATTTACTAGATTCGTTTTTGTTCGTTAATTTGTTTCTTGCTTCAGTTATTCATTTATCCTTATGATCACAATCGCACCTCTCTATAAGAACACTATATTTAAGAACAAATTACTTATGAGAACACTATATTTAAGAACAAATTAACTTATAAGAACATAATTTTCAAAAACAAGCTTATTATAAAGTATATTAAAGTTTCCTTCCTTATAAGAACATACTTGGCAAGTGGGAGTGATCGTGGCGCAGTAATCATGTATAGTGCAATACTGCGGCTTGGCGATCTGTGAAATTTATATTATCTCTAATTATGAATTTTATGTTCTTATTTCTTCATGTGCTTATTATTATATTACTATGTTGTTTTCTTGTTATAAATTCTCATTTATTTTATTCTTTCGTAATGTATTTCGTATTTATGCTCTTTCGTCGCATTCTAGCCTTATTATATTTATTTACTTATCTCATTTTATTCTTATTCATGCTATATTTCGTCATGTATTTCGTTCTGCTCTTGATTCACCATTTATATCAAAAATTTAACTAGATTCATTTCTTTTAGTTTTTTCGCTTTTTGTTATTTTTTCTGTCTTTCGTATACGTTCTGTTCTATAATTAAATATATATTTTGGCTCTAATCTCTAGATGCGCGTCTGACTGTACATGTACAGTACATGTATGTACATCTAATTTTGAAACCACAACTTGGGCATTAAGCCAATAGAATTTTTGCACGTGATTAAACAGGTTTTATAATCTAAACTTCGGATTTACTGCTATTGCATGTACATGTATAAGGTTGTCAACTTAAGACCAAGTCAAACCAAATAGAACTGTTAATTTTAAACAGAAGGGGAAATTCAAGTTGTTGGTCAGTCAAGAAAAATTCAAGTTAAATTTATATATTAGGTGGTTAAGTTTATGTAGGTTAATGGAATTCTAAGCACACGTAAAAAAGTGGGCGCATGTCGTGAAGGTCCAAGTTTTAGAGGCTGTCATGATTTAGCTCTGATTTTAATATACAGTGAATCTAGGTATAACGAAACCTGGATAAAATGAATTTTCATTTATAATGAAGTTTTGATGTAACAAATTTCTTTAATATAATTTCTACCTGAATATAATGAAAACCTGGTTATACTTCGTTATATCCAGGTTCGCTATATACTTCTTAAAACTACTGTAATAAACCCTCTTATAATCTTGATTTGCTGAATTCTGACGAAGGAGTGCAGCATTGTAATTATAAAAGTGTATCAAGTAAGTGTTTAAAATTAATTTTTCCCGCCATCATTTATACCATATGATGACTTTATAATAGGTTTGTTATGTTGATTCCTTTTTATATTTATCTTTGATAAAAGAAAAATTTAAATACTGTATTCAGATATTAAACATATACAGTTATACTGGATGTAGTGAATTAAACCCATTGATAATAAAATCTTTAGATTTAATGAATTTATAAAACAGTGAATTTTTTGACAAATTTTACTAATTTTACTAATAGACCGAACCATACATTCATTTTTACACTCATTTGCATTTGCAGAAAATTTAAAATATCGATCTTAACATATTATTGAGAAAAAAAATTTTCTCGCATTATGAAAACATGATTTTATATAATGATAAATAAAATATTGGTCATTTATCTAGTGAACATGTATATGCGACTATTTATAGAAGCAATTTACTAGATACCAAAAAAAAACCAATTGAATTACATGTATTTACCAAAAACATGCATCTAATTATTGCAAGTTATTTTATTAAGCAAGCGACGCTCAAAATTTACTTAAAATCTAGTCAGAGATTCATTGCCTGGTTTACGAGTGTCGAGATTATCAAGAAACCGTATCCTACTCTTCTACGCATGAATAATTATAAATGATGTATTGAATTCATTTGAACGTGATTACCAAGGATTAAACCTAATGACCATAATGGTTTCAGCGGAATTTTAAGCGGACGTCGTGCTTTAGAGCATTATGCAAGTAGTTTATGTTCACCTCACAAGCCTAATCGAAATTGGGAATTATGAATATTTCAAGTCATATATACTCGCAGTATAAAATAATATATATGGTTCGAATGAGCTCATGTTAGATGCATGATATGTTATATCATAATTTTCGAAATATAATAAATTCTTTGATTTAAATATATAATGTAATATTGATAAATGATAAGATCCTTTAATCTATGTTCTCCAACCAGCACATCGCCTCGCAATACAAGTACCAACCAATCCTACCACTTCCCAATACAAAACCAATTGAGGCACTACTTTATGAACACTCGTCGCTACTTCTGGCTCCAAGATAGATTTCTTCTGCTGTTTTTGTTTTTTCTGTGATAGTAAAATATGAACGCTGTTCTCGCTTTTTTTATTTTCGTCCCGTCTTCGTGCTAATGTTTGATAAAGACTTGCATTTCCGCATTCACAAACCGCTATTAATACTCGATCATCATTAGCAGATGAGTTTCCTAAGTCAATGTCCAAAGAATCTGGTTTCAGATTTGGATGCGATGAATTTTTCGTGCTTACGTTTGTGTTGGTTGAATTGGATGTAGAGGAATTGGAAGAGAAGTTACCCTTTAAAATACGATTAAAAAACTTTTGTTGCTGAGCAAACCATGCGACAGTTTTTTCAAATGCTGTGAGCTTACTATTGTTTTTAGGTGAATTATTACTATTACTATCGTTATTAATAGCACTGTTGTTATTTGGAACTTTAGTATCATTGATATTCGTGTTATCGTAATCAAAAAAAATCTCGACTTCATGTTCGTTTTCATCAATAAGATTATTTATATCATTGACTTCATAATTGCTGTCGATATTTTTATCGTCATCTCCATCGTTCAAATTTTCAAATTGCTTCACCACATTTTCTGATGAATAATTCAAAAAGAGTGATGGGATCGTCGGACGTTTACGATATTTCTTTATACGCACCAATGATGTTGCATATGGATGTTGGTCGTCATCATTCATTATAAGTGATATTTAAAAATAAATTGGAAGGTTGTCGTGTGAATGTTATCAAATTTATAGCGTTATCAAAATAGATGTATCAATAGAAAAGGGACAATTATTTTTAGCACCTGACTCTATTATTGTATTATCGTTATTTTGTTTTGTATTGTCAATGTCCTTTATTTAGTTGTTTTTATTGTTATCACTTTAAAAAAGGGTAATGATTTTCCCTATACATGTACAGTACATGAACGTGTATTGTATATGCATACCAATATGACTGTGGGAAGTAAAAAAATAATGATGTACGATATTTAGGAGATGTTTTTTGGTTAATAGATATGGATGTGAAAAAATAACACTCCCGTCTGTAATTGTGTAGGCAATGGCATCTTGATTTAAATTGGCAAATACATGTTCAATTTTTACGTTGTTCACAATAGATTCACTTTCTTATAAATTACGTGAATTTTGTCAAAATGATTCTTATATTCTATTGAGCGAAATTTCAATTACTATCGCTATATATACATGTCTTTTTAATGTGATTAGTTCTAATACTGTACTGTTAGTGATTGACAATGTCAAGAGCAAACTATCTAATTAGATATATTGTTCAATTGATACTTTTTATATCTTCAATTACTTAAGTATTTATAATATGTTAACTAAAGTGTAATATATAAACAAAAGTGATTTAAGCAACTAAAAATAACTAAATTATAATACATGTAATTAAAGCGATGTTGCCGTTGCAACGAAAAAACCCCATTTTATGGAAACCAACCTGTGATCCATAGAAATTCCGGGACCAACGATCCAAACCTTTGTGCCCCTAATATGGAAGTGATTAGAATAATTATTTTGCTTCGAAAATTGATACAAGATTCCTATCTTGTCTTGTGGTATTAACATTAGCATTGCCACTTGAATCCCCCCCAAATATTCCTTATTGGCGTACCCAAGAACGTGAACATAACAACAAAACACAAACAAACCCATCTAATAATTACCTTTGATCCAGAGAAATCCTTGCGAAATCATATTTTAGTAAAGCACGTAGAATTTTCTCTTATTTTTTTATTATTACAATTAACATTTGATTAATTCTCATTTTTGCACTCATAATAATGAAGCCCATCCCTTTTTGTAAACTCATCCCATACTCCATACAATTCTGACCTGTGAAGACTTGTAGTCTAGACCTATAAAATAGCAAGTAGTTAGAACACAACAAAAATGTATAAAAAGAATAGCTCTCGCAAAATGGAGAGACAAGTCTTGTATGGTTTGAAGAAAATAAATAAAATTAATTATTTTTAAATCTTACCAAATATAGCTTCAGATTTTATCTCTTTTGAGCCTTAACAAAATCGATAGCTTTAATTCTCTTGTGCTTAACAATTGAAGACTTTGCTGCTTTGACCATACAATGTTGATTTATCATGTTTAATTCTTGATCCATTTTGGAAACTCGAATTATTCTTTTTCTTGCTTTGGATATTGGAATCCTCTTTATGTTATTTTGTTATTTTAAAAGAAACTTATCTTTGAGATTTAAAATAGTTATAATTTGGAAATTAGTATAGTTATTTATTTAATTAAATTAATGTTATAATTTGTTAGTAATTTGGTTAAATATTATTATTTATACTTTATCTTTATCTCTTTAAGAATTTGCCTCTTTAATTGCATAATCTCCATATAGATTGGTGCAGGAGATATTTAAAATCTTAGTGATATCTCACTCTGATAAATCATTCAGTCTAGCTCTTGCTTCTTGTTGTATTTGCAATTCTTTAATCTAATTAACATCTAAACCATACATTATAATAATTTAAGTTATATTATATAAATAATTAATAAAATTATATAAACTGATAATTCTGTTAAAAAATTTATTATATAAAAATATTATACTTTATATAAAGAGTTGAATATAATAAATAATTATAAAATTAATAATTTCTTTATTTTAATACTAATCAAAGCTTATACAAATTGAAAATATTTAAAGCTTATTTTTTTGTATTTAAGTAAAATATAAAGATTAAATTTAATTAATTATTCTTTAAATTATACAAATAAATATCATTTTTAAATATAAAATTATAAAATTAAATCTTTTTATATAGTTCTAATGAAAAGTAATAAAAGTTAAATTTATTTAAAAATAAAATTATTTTTTATTATAATTTTATTTAAAATTTTATCAATATTAATTGAATAACTTTAATTTTTTAAAAAATAAATTTTCATCTATATCTTATTATATATCTTATAATATATTAATAATTTTAGATAAAAATTTGAAAATAATTATAATTTATTAAGTAATTAATAATTAAACAAGAATATATTAAGCATTTTTATAATTTTTAACTATTTAAAAATTATCAAAATAATAAATATTAGATATTAATAATTATTTAAATATTTAATTTATATTTATAATAATAAGTTTAAAAATAGATATTTTTTATAATTTTTAATATTAATTTTAAAATTATTCTGTTATTATTTTTTATAAAATTTTAAAAAGTTTATTAAAGATTAATAATTAATATTTTAAAATAAAAAATTTATATATTTTTAATTTATAAATATCTTTATTTTTTTATATATTAAAAAAATAAAAAATTATTATAATAATAATCAAAAATAATAACTCAGAGCTAAATTTATTAATAAAATATAGTGAAAATTAAAATTTCTTTCTATATTAAAATTTATAATTTTATTAAGAAATAATTTTTATTTTTATATTAAAATAATATTTATTAGTTATAATTTAATATATATATTTTTTAAATTTTTTAGATTTTTTTCTGAAAGAATTATTCTAATTACAAAGTTAATGCAAAAATTTTTACTAATTAAAAATAAAATTTAATTAATAGAATTTTTGCACTAATTTTATAATTAATATAACTCTTTCAGAAAAATCTAAAAAATCTGAAAAAAATATATGTTAAATTATAATTAATAAATTTTATTTTGATATAAAAATAAAAAGTATATATTTAAAGAGGATATATATTTATAAAGATTAAAATATATAAAGCTCTTATAAACTAAAATCAGAATATATTATATATTTAGAAAGAAATTATATAATATATATACTTAAAAAGAGTATATTTAGAGAAATTTAATTGTATTTCAAAAATTTTGAAATAAAAATTAATGAAATATAAATTTATAATATTTTAATAATAAATTTTTGTACAAGATTAAATAGTTTAAAAATAATTATTTATTTATTATAATTATTTTTATTGTTTTATTAATTTTATTTTATAAATAAATTCTTTTAAGTTAAAATAATGTAATAAATTTAATATAATAATTTATAAAATAATAAATAAAAATTTATTATTATTATAATTACAGTGATGATCAAAAGTAATGACTAAGGGGCTAAATTTACTAATAAAATATAGTGAAAATTGAAATTTTCTCTCTATATAAAAATTTATAATTTTAATAAGAAAT